GAGTGCAAACTACTGTGGTTCATAGAAATAGCATACATGATTATGCATTGTGTCTAGCTTCTGTAAATACCTAAATATTTAATGCGTCGTGTCAAGCAGATATACAGTCTGCTTGGTCTCTATGGTTTCCAACTAAGGAAATCATTGTATTAAGTATTTCTTTTAGAAATTGTCCAGTTTCTGGTCTTGTGATGTGGTTGCCACAATGAAATCATTGCCTGCAAGGTCAGCTTTCACCCAAGTCCATGTCTACACAGCTCGTGGTAGTCATTTTAGCTCAGTGTGTGCTCAATGAAAACTCTTTTCCGTGTTTCTTTTACATGAATATTGTTTATTTAAGCTCCTCTTATAAATAGAAAACTTTTATTGTTCTTTATTATCATTGCTTCGTTGTTTACTTGGAGTTTAATTATTTTTGTTAGCTTTGAGTGAAATTATGTGCTGTTCATAAATAAGGATTTATTGGGCGACATTGATGATGGGCTCAGCAACTCTTTTCTTTTTCTTTTTAATGATTTTGGGTTGTCTTATTTATCTTGTTTAATGCTGTAGCTTTGTTAAGACAAATGAGTGCAATCCTTATATGGTAGTATTTGTATAAGTCGGGGTGTAAACTTAAATACATTTGCAAATGCGCATATGTGCATTTGCAGAACCTCTTGAAATCCTAAATATAGTCAAACAGAGCAGGAAGGGCAGAGAAGGATGTGATGCAGATGATGCACTGCATCGCTCTCCCTAATGTCCCTGAAGATTCACTAATTTGTGTGAAGTTATATAAATAGTTGAGTAATAATGATTGGCATCTGATATTATTAGACTTAAAGTATGATATGAAAATCTGTCAGCTTCATTTTACAGTTTCAGTCTTCTACATTACCCTATGAATGACAGAAAATCATATTACAGTTTCATACCAATTAAGAGCATTCAAACAAATTTTGTCACAAAAGTTGGAGAACACTAGCTAAGTAAGAACATGTAAATAGCACCCAGAATACAAATCTGATCTCCAAGTTCATTTAAAACCTTAAATTTAACTTGTTTTAAGGGTCATAAGACTTTGCTGAAAAAGAACATACTCATAATTTGCAATTATTTAAATGTAAGCAATAGCGTAATTTAGTTTTAGGGTTATCGTATTGTTGGTCTTCGTTATTCATTGTATGAGCATGGAGATACTTCAATGTGTGATTCAGGGCTAAAAGCTATACATTAAATGATTAGTTATTATTATTCAGTACATTTAGGTCATATATATGTGTATCCGGTAAAGGCCATCAAAATTCTATTACGCTGTGTCATGGCCGCTCTACAGCTATGTTATAAGCCGTTTTTCCTGATATTCTGAAGGATTATGATATATCAATATCGATAGCTGTAGCCTTCTTGACAGCATGAACCTAGAAATTATTTACGAAATAAAGCCTCATTCGTTTTTGAATCTGCATCGTTTCAATAAGGCATTCAGTCTACTTTGAATCTGCACTGAAAGAAACGAGCTCTGAGTTGCTTCTGTTACTGGGTTACAGTTGTCAAACTTCATAATCGATCATATTTCACCACAGAAAGATGGAAAATTTCTGACCTTCCCCCATGTAAACTCAAATCTCTTCTCTATTGAAAAATGAAGCAGCCTAGGCAATTACTACATTGTACACTGTAAGCAATTCAAGGACTATGTATTCAATAACGCCCACAAGCTACGACAGTTTTTACCTGACATTATACATTTCTTTGTGTCCCTAATGGAAGATTGATCTAGCTGAAGCAGTGTTAACATGAATATCGTAAAAGCATCCTCAGTGCTCAAAATAAATGATTTTGTTTATTTTACTAACTCAGCAGTTGTCAGACATTTTCTACCATGTTTGACTTCAGAAGTTTATAAAAAATCATACCCCATTAACATTAAAAATAATTTAACTTAAATCTTATTGACATAAAAGGTAAACAAGAGAGTCAATAAACTCTTTATTTTTCCCTTAAAAGAGTCAACTATGTGTCATTCTGTATTTTTACATTTCTCATCATGACCATCAAGACATTGTTTCCCTGACTGTGCATTAATCGATGAATATTTCATATTCACTGTGTATAGTGTTTTTACAGCGTCTGTGGAAGGGGAGCAGTGATTACATCAAACCATTAATTACTGCTCTTTCATGACACATACGCATATTATTTAGTTTCTTCATGGAAATTTTTATCATTTGGTGTGAAACATATCCTGATATGACACAATCAAGTCGCACTGTATCATAATGAGGAAGGTGATTTTTGGCTTTTGTAGGTAGCACAGAACAAAATGAAATAGGAAAATGAGCACAACAATAATTCATGCAAGACGAAAAGTCAAGCTCTGTCAATCACAGAATATGCTGGCTCAGATTAAACTGCTTAAGCTGCTCTTGCCTGAATTTTGTTGCTGCTTTGTCTAAAAGACACTTTGCTATCCACCTTCACCCCAGCTCCTCAATTTATTTTTGTGTCTGACTTATCAGTGTGATATTTGTTATCCTTAAATCCTGCTCTGTTTCTTACCGTAGTGGAGAGTATTCCACATGCTCTTCCCGCCTTGGGCTTTCCAATTTTGTACATGGAAAGAAGAGCTCTCAACGCCTTAGGCTTTCCACGCTTGCACGTGGAAGGAAGAACAGAAGCATACTGTCACATATAATTAGGCTTTTTCAGTTTTAAACAAGACTATCTAAAGTGGGCCTGACTGAAATAGCATTTCTCAGTAGTTTGATTTTATTGATTATATCTGCTTCATGAAACCTTCACAGAAGCAGAGCAGAGGATGCTAAAGAAAAGACGGTAAGGTCAGTGAGTCAGATTCAAATACTCTTTAGAGTGTGGCCAAGTGGAGCCTCCAAGAGAGATCACCTCCAATGAAATCCACCATACCTTTGTCTTAAGCTTAACCACAGTAAAAATAAATAAATAAATAGCTGGCTTTGGCTTTGGAGCTGCATTTTCTTATTCTATTGTCTTACGAGAAAAATAGCCTGTGGAATACATGTAAGCAAGGTGTTCACATGCAAGTAAAGTTACAAATAATTATGCCAATTTATAGCCAGCTAATTAGTAAAGTCAGGCTATATATCAATGAATGTGTCATATCCCACCTCCGGTCTGATAAATGGACAACTGGCTTTCAGGGAATTAAAATCAATTCTGCAATTTTCTGATGATTGATGAAAAGCATCTGTCCATTCATACACGTCTGTTCTATGATTATGTATGTTGTGGTGTATGCATTTATTGGTTTCACCTATTTACAGCTTAATATTAGAGCCACACTCTTATGCCTGCTGAGTATAATGAAAATCCACTGCAATCATGAAGCAGTAAAGATTGCCTCTTGCCTTGTCTTGTTGAAATGCAGCCTGCATGTAATCAATGCAAATTGTGATATATGTTGCCCAATCTTATATTTACACAGCCAGTATTTCCTACCTCCACTGACCTGTGTGTCTGTATGTACACAGAGAGAGAGAGAGAAAGGAAGGTCACCTGTCTCTGCCCTTGTTGGACATTGATGACTTCTTGCTGATGCTATTTAACACTATAGGGAATAAATAAACATAAATAAATGTTTACATGGACATTACCAGGCCAGACCTGGACACAAACACGGGTATAGTCAAGGACACAGAGTCACTTCTGACAGAATATGGTTAAAAAAAAGAGCTCATGAAATAACAAAAAACATCAATTAATTTACTTATACATGCAAAGTGCAATCTGTTCAGTGAGCACAAGCGTTATTTTCAGAAAATCTGACACTGTAAATGCGACAGAGTGGTTTAGGTGTTGATGAGGCTACTGGAAGAGCTACATTTTGAATCCTTTTTTTGTCTGTGCAACACAGTGGTGAAACATGTCAGCACGCATGCAGTCCATCTGTTCTCGGTTTCTCTTTTGAGAGCACTTTTGTAATATTCGAGTCACTATTGGGTTTATTGATTGGCAGCTTTTCCACCATCCATCATCAAAGGGTGAGTCTCCTACGTCTGTACAGACTGTTTAAATTCCAATCCTCTCATCTTTGAATGAATGTCCTGTGCAGATTAAGCCAAGCAGCCCTGAGGATTCAGATTAAGATTAGCTGTGGTGTCATGTTTTTAATTAGTGTTTTCCACAGCAAAAAACAGACTTTCATTGTTTTTTTAAGTTATTTGCCTTATAGAATCAGTTGTAAGTCCTTGTGTCTGCTGGTTGGTTGTCCTTTGGTCTACATTGTAGGTGCTTAAACTGATTGCAATTCTCCAGGTGCTACCAAGAGTAAACAAGCCTTAGGTGCTGTGTCACCATCACTTGACTTTTATTAATGGGCTACTCCATTTCTATTTGTATCACCCATTCAACTAAAATCCTGGCCTCAAAACACTTAACAAATTGGCTGATCCTGTGACCTGCCTTTGCTATTTCACTAACAATAAATGATGGCTGTTAACCAATACTAGTGAGGCTGCTCAATAATCTGATCAGGTAATAAATTTACTTTTTGCTGATGTAGACAGATAAGTAGGACTGTAAGTATGTATTAACCATGCTATATATTCAAAAGTATTTGGACGTGTCCATTTTTCCTGGCTTTTGCAGCACGTGTTTGATCTCTCACAATAACAAATGATTACAATAAACCATTTTGTTTATAGGCACCTTCGAAGACCTTCAAGACACTTTACATGCAATTAAGTGTCAAAATCAAAGTCTGGAAATAGGAAAACACCTTGAAAGTCTTTAAATAACAAATTGAACCAACAAACTAACAGAACAGACCATCTTAAAAAGATGTGTTTTAAGACTGGCTTTAGTTAAGGAGACAGTGGTTGGCATCCTTAGTTCCAGTTAAGGGGACTTGTCTTTCTGTCTTTCTGTCTTTCCAGAAGTTCTTGGTTGCCATCTAGTGACAGATGTATTCCATTACACCATTTCCATAGCTAAAGACACCATTTCTCTTCATTTTAAAAAAGGCATCAAAAGACCGATTTTTAGTGATGCACAAAGTTTTATTTTTGAACAAGACAAAGGTGCAGTTACACAATGGTGCTGATCTACGGTATCATGTAAAACCCTACATGTCTTTTCAATGGGTTGTAAAAATCATGCCAGCAAGTTGCTTCCTGATTTTGCTGAAAAATATGGACTGCGCATTAACAGTCTCTATTGAATTACACTTCCTTGGTTATAATGTAAATGTTAAAATGTTGGCATTGGTTAATTTTAACAAGAACTGTTCATGCTTCAAAGGTTAGCATTATTAATGGCTAAATGTGCAACCTGAAACATCTGCTCTCAGGCCAAAGAACCTCCCATAACAATTTACATACACTACTGTTATAAAATGTTAAAAATGAAATTGTTGATTTGTGGACCTCTAAAATTTTGGTGTGGAAATAAGGCAACAATTTTAAAGGATGAGTTCTTGATTGCGTTGCTTGCTTTTTATTGCATTTCCTCATTTAGTCTGAAACTGACGTAGCATCAGAGAATCTAAATGAACGTTCAATGCACTGCAGGCTAAATACCATCATGTCAGTAACAAGTGAGAAAGTTTCACGTGCACTCAATCCAGCTTCAACACTGCATGCCTTGTGATAACAATACAAAATGTACAAGCAGATGCCCTTCCTGTTCCCATACTTGTGCAGCATTAAACATCTGCTCTTGTATTTAATGTGTATAGAATTTGATGAACATATTTACCCAGAAAAGAAGAGCTGTTGAAATTAGCAAGCTCAGGCTGCATTTACATGATTGGAATTCAAGCAAAGCTCCTTAGAAAAATTAAAACATAGCTTGAAACCAGTCATGCATGCACTTTTTTTTATAATTAAATTCATCACTCTCTCTTACTGTATAGAAGAAAAACACAGTTTGACTGTTTGTCACTGTTTGGTTTTTGCAGCCTACTTAACACAGTCCTTAAATCAATCATTTATCATGCCATGCAGGTGGTTCCTTAGTGTATCCTTACAGAAGTATTCAGTATTACTTTAAGGGGAGTTCATACATAGTATTAAATAAATGCCAGGCTGAATTAATAATGAAGCATTTTTTCTTTTTTTTAAAATCAGCAAGAATCTAACTGATCATCATAGCTAAGGCTTTGGCAACATAACACCTCAAGACATCCTAAGGTATAGAAGTTATCAAGACACTACGTTAACCACGTGATAAGATTTCAACAGTCTCGCGTTACAAACTCCAGCAAGCTTTTGAATGTTAAAGTGGTCAGTGTTTAACAGAAGACGTGCTGAAATGCTACTCATACGTCTCATAAGAGGAACCAAAATGGCAATTCTCTTTATTGTTTCAACAAATCCACACCGTGTAAGTGTCGTCTCACTAAGTACCATAACGAAAAGGCTTCTTGTCTAAGTTAAAGAAAGGTTTCTAAACAGCTATTTAATCAAATTCTGAGTGGATACAAAAGTAACCGTAATCAGGCATTGCCAGTGAAGTGTTACATTACAAACTTAAATGTTGATAAAGGATAATCCCGTTGTTTTTGTGAGAACTCGTTTTTACTGTTATCGCAAAAAGACAACTGCACATAACCGCCCAATATAGTCTGTATCAGCCATCATCTACAGTGAGCCTGTGGCCACGAGGTCTAATGATATGGTCATGTTGGCAATCGGGGCATCAGCCTCTGTCACAGTCAGCAGGTCTGCCAGCAGAGCAGTCCTTTCTACTTCAGCCCAGCCCACCACCCCCTCTCTCCACCTGAGACCTCTCCGGTGAAAGACAGAGGCGAGGGAGCACAGAGGTCAGAGTCTGTGTCCGACTCCCCCTCTGCTAGCAATGGTCTGACCCTGGCACAGAGTGAAGGTCCACTTCCGGCTTCGGGCCCTGCTCCGGCTCCCCCTCCTAAGCCTGTAAAGAACGAGGGCCCAAAGAAGTCCTCCTTGGCTTGGGAGATGCTGAAGCCACTGAACGAGCGCTCCAGCTCCTCATGGTCAACCGACAGGATGGAGAGGTATGTGTCACTATCTACTGCGGTGACCTCTCGATGGCACCTGTGCCTCCTGTTGCGCCTCTTGCTGTGGGAGCCGCTCTCTCTGCCGCTGCCACCCTGACCCGAAGAGGATCTGTCATGAGCTGGAGCAGGTGGAGGTGGGAGGCGGAACAGGGTGGGCGAATGGTCGCCGCTGCCACCTACTGGCGAAGGGGTGTTGGCCACGCTGCTGTTCCAGGCAGGCTGGCTGATGGGGTTTTGCAGCTGGTGCTGCCAGGAGGTAGAGGGGCGGCTGTTGCTCCCAGAGGGAGTACCAACTGATCTCGCCACAGATCGACCGAGTAAAGGGTCTTTCTTTTCCAAGGACCCGTCAGAGCATGGGACATCAGCTGCTGAGCATGTCTTCACCTCCTGTACCTCCTCTTTTTCCTCCTTCTCTTCTTTGCTCTCCTCGGGGCTGTGGTAAGGCGGGGCTGGATACGGCTCCCTGGAGTTGAAAAAGGCCTCTGTTTCAGAACGGGGGATACCCATACGCTGCACATACACATTAACCAGGAAGTCGAGTTTCCTGTCCATGCAGACCACCTGCAGAAAGACAGAAAACGGTGTTCCATCAGAGGAATCAACATAAGTTGATGTTGGCGGGAAAAGAAAAACTTTCCAGACTGACCTTCACAGACCTGGGTGAAACATTCCTACCTGCTTTTCCACTTTGACCAGACGTCCCATCATACTCTGGTCCTCCACAGCATCTCCTTCACCTTTGGGACCTTTACCAACTATCTGGTCAACTCTAACATTTAGAGAAAATAGTGTCATATATTAGATTATAATATGATTATACAAGTGTATAGTTATATGTATAGTAGATATGCTCTGTTTTGCCACAGGGTCTGACCCCAATATTTTTAACTCAAGAAGTTTAGGATGCCAAAATGTAGATTAGTCTTGCATTGAAAAGTAATGAAATTATTTTAGTGATGATTGTTGTCAAGCTGCAAATAAATATGTTTGAATGAATAAATGACGGCCTTACTGTCACGGCTGCGCAGCAGTCGTGTGGTGAATTGAGAAAAGGATCCAAAATGCAGGCACTGGCTGGGGTGCGAGTGAATGTTTATTTACAGAGGTGATAAGGTGACAAAAACAGGAGGAGCAGAGCGGGGAGAAAACAAACCTAAACTGGGGAAAACTAAAGAACTCAACTTAAACCAAACACGCACGGGAGGAGGAACAAAATGCACAAAGAAAGCTGGCGGAGAGACGCAGCCTGAACACCGGGTTACACAGAATTATGCAGACGGACATGGAGTTAAACAGACGACGCAACAGAGAGCACAGAAACACAGGGCTTAAATACACGGGGAGTAATCAGGGAATGGGCCACAGGAGGGAGACACAGCTGGGAGCAATTAGGCTAACGAGACAGGGGAGAGGTAAAACTGAACACACTGACATGAGACATGAACTTTCAGAATAAAACAGGAAACTAACAGACACAGAGAACCAGACAGGACACTGAACTTGACAGGCAGACTCATGAGCAGACACAATAACACCATGGACAGACAGAGAGAACACAGGCAGGCATGAAACAAAAACACTAACACATAGCAAACCTAAACAAAAGACAAAACAGAATAACCGAGAACAAAGAATAATATAAAGAAACACAATACACCGAGTCCTCAGACTCAGGACCATGACACTTACAGAAGGTGAACGTTTCCTGAGACACTACTGAGTTCAGGTGGATTGTGTGGACGCATGCATAATGTGAGTAAGACGATCTTTTTTTCCTTTTCTTTTTTTTCTTTTAACAAAACAGAGTCTAAACTGAAGGGACATTTTGTCTGCGGCCAAAATGCATCACTTGGCATGCTTCAGTGGTGCTTCATGCTTCATTTCCATTGCATCCTACTGGGGGAGCTCTCCCTCTGTCTTTCTGCTAAGAGAGCAAGCATTTAGCACTTCAAACCCCTCTTGAGCGAGGCCATGTGAAACGGCTTGTTAAGATTCAGTGAGCAAACGGCAAAATGTCTTTTTTTAGCCTTTCCTTGACAGCAGCTGATATCATTTGTCACCAGCGCTAACAGAACAACATCCTTAAAATGTTCTACATAAAGCAGTCTGTTAAGCCATTTCACTTATTAACTATTGCATCTGCACCCCTGCTTTCATGTATCACAATCCCGCTAGCTCAATGAGACATGTCAATGGCTTGAACTCAAAAGGGGTTCCATCAATCGAACCAGTAAGGTAGCATGTAACTGCTACTATGGCATAAGGAGGATAATGCTGATAAAATGGTCATTCTAAAGGTGCAGTCTATTAACCTAACCTAGGAACTTCAGTGGACTTCTTATGGCGAGGTGTTGTTGGGGGAGGCGGCCCCACAATCATATCTATCCTGGCAAGGCACACAGAGACGATATGAGTGCAATGCAGAATGAAGCAACGTGGGAATCACATCAGGTATGGAGAACACGTCTGCAATATATTCCACACACGAGACATACGGTGAGTCTGGCTTGTTTCATGGATGGAAAGTGTGTGTGATTCACTGATGGAATATATTTCTTGTACATGTTAGACCTTCAGGGGATCAAGGTGTGAGGAGCTCGCTTGTAGGAGGGAAAACTGACATAGAAAACAATGTGAATTAGACATCAGTGTTACATCCAAAATCAATCTGTGGCACGTTCAGAGCTGAAGGAGTGACCGCTAATAGGACATCAAGCTACCGATATATGTAACAGATCTGAATACAACACATGTATCTGGATAAATGAAACAGGCAAATCAATGGCTTGTGTGTCACAACATGTGTGTATCCAGTGACCATAAAAGCACTTTGTTAGTAGATGAAAGCTCCACTGTTATATTAAGCTAACTAAACTAACTACTGACACATATTTCTTAAAGAAATGACAGTTTGCAATTAATACAATACAAAATATTACACAGAGTGCACTATACTGGTCATAGGATGTTCAAGATGGGCTATACGCCTTCCAACAACTGCTCACACTGCACAGCAAATACACCGGACAATTACATCCACGCTCTTTGGTTCTGTCCACCAGTTCAGAAATTCGTGAGATATGTGCTTATCAAAGTGGGTCGGCAGGGGCCGGAGCCGCTGGAAAGGGGGCAGGAAGAGGCTGCAGCGGAGCTATAGGAAAGGTATGAGGTGCAGGCTCTTGGGGCAGGTCCACCCAAGGTGATACAGTCGCGGCTCTTGTGGTTTCCTGTCCATCCAGTTCAGGAAATTCCTGGGCGCTGAGACTTGTGTGAACGACATATACTCGAAGAGTGGTACACCTGTAACTCGTAAAGGAAGGCGTATGGCGCCCAGCACATCCCGTGTTTATTTAGTATGCATGGCATGGGGAGGCACGTCTTGGATGAGTGAGATCAGCTAGAGGCAAGAAAGACTATGACAACGAGGACCTCAAGTGCTCTCTCAGTACGCCGCTTAACGTGCGGCACTTGCAAGGAACCACTCGCGCTCCTCACCTCTGAACCGGGGAAAAAACTTAAACAGAGAACTGACTCCCATTGACATTGGCGTACACCGAATTATGACCGAACCACCATCTATTATAGTATCGACGATTAGTCAGTTGACTCACGAAGCACAGTCTGCACGTCCATGTGAGATTCGAATCCTCTGTTGGGCGTCGCCTTATGGAGTCTCCGGCAACTTCGCAGCGGAGCATAGGTATGGGAGGGGTCTGGGGGTCAGTGAGTTTGGTCTCCTCGCCCGTTCGGTCTATTCCCGTGAGTTGATGATGGGGGGTAGAGGACGCGCCTTCCTAGGGCGCGGTCGCTGCGGTATCCTCAGGAATCAGAGAGATAGTGACTTCCAATCAACGGTGACTAAGCCCCATGGCGGACGAAAATGTCTGTGAGCCATTCTAGACTCGTCGGGTAGACGAGCTCTGGGGCCTCCAATCTAGGGAAATGGCTGTCTCTCTGTCACTTAGCATGCAGCACATAAGATAAATAAGCAGAAGTCAATAGAGGGAGAGGTCTAAGAGATAGAGAGACACGAGTGGCTTTATCATGGTCCTGGTATGCACTCTTGGCTGCCCCTGGGAAGGAGTTACGCAAGTGACGGTTGCCATGTAGGGTAGGTTTGGTGGCGTTCTGGGTGTGGTCTTCGCTCACTCCAGCATTCTCCCCACGGCGCTCGCTGCGTTGGTTTGCTAGAAGATGGCTATGCGCGGGCCCTTGGGTTCTGGCATGTTGGTGTTCTGAACGGAGCATGCTCGGCGGTGATGGGTATGTGTCATAGGGGGGCGTACATTTGACCCAGTGACAAGTGGACTCTCTCTTGTCAGGGTCGGCTCTCTACATTCTGTCTATTGTCGCGTCGCCTCTACGATACACGTGAGATAAGGGAGGAGCTGCTTGTTTATTAAAGGATTCTTGCTTACGGTGGACTCTCACATCTTAACAGACACTCACTCAGAGGAGCTCACACTCCGGCTGATCAGTTGAGACGTTTGGGGAGCGAGTAGATATTTTAGGAGAGGTGGATGATGAAAACTTCCACAACCACTGAGGTGATACTTCCATTGATCCTGTCCGATCGTAGATTGGTTTGAGGAGATAGATTGGATTATCAGATGAGGTGGGGTGCAGTTTATCTTCAGTCGGGGCATGGACCGTCGTGACGCCATTATCCCCAAGCGTACTATCTGTGGGGTCTGGGGGTGCTTGTGCTGTTCTACCAAGGTAAGAGATCTTCCACAGGTTGCCGAGATTCGGGCTCATCTCCATTGAGTCCCCTTGTTCCTCTGGTGGGCTTGTACCATGATGTTTCCTGGTCTCCGCGGTTTCAGTGGTCACTTCACGTTTGGTTTTCATGTCAGCAATAAAGCTAAGGTTCTGATTCACAATTCTGTGTTCGAGTCCTACGCTTGGATCCTCCTCTCCGCCTGCCCGCACACAGAGCCCTGACAATTTTAGGGCCACTTGCCCCTCCCTTTCTTCCCTCCCCATCCTCAGCTGCCTCCCTATTCCCGCTCTACCACACCCACCCACACACGCAGGGCTTGGGGTGCAGGTATGTCACCAGGGTGCAGGGGAGGCACTCCCCCTCTGTCCCCTTCTGGCCGCCTGTGCCTCAATTTTATTCTGCAACCTAGACATCCACATTACTCACACTCTCACATAACACATACATATAGGGCCTTGGGGGTGGGCACGTTTTACAGCATCCAGAGGATGGTCGGTGTACTCCAACCCACCTCTGGCGCTGGTGCCCTACCCTCAATTTTAAATGCATTTAGACACTAAGGGTTTTCGGGAGGAGCCGTGCTGCTCTCTGAGAGGAAGCTAGTACCATGCTCTCCTGAGTTTTAAATGCACTTTAGAACAGCACACAGCAACACTACATATGAGCGGGAACAGCACACAGCCACTACATGAGCGGGCGTAGGGAGGTTCATGAGGTAACACGTTGAAAACCAGCAACACACAGCGAAAGACTGGCCGGTTTCATTAAAGGGTTCAACCGCTTCTTTATCACATGGCATGACACCCACACTGAGCTTTTTTAAATTGCTATCTTTATCAGAAGACCACCAACAGACAGAACCCACCGACTACTCCATCAAGATGCAGGCGGAAAGACAAAACGCCGACACTAAGGGAGGCTTGTGAGGCTATATCAACTCTTCGCGCCACACTGTGTGTAGCCGGCACGTACAGCGAGCTTCTGGCGCATGGGAGGAGGGTGCCCTTTGGTCTCCTGCACATGTCTAGAGCTGGTGTTGTGGTGATGCCGCGGTCTCTACTGCTATGCCAGCAGCATACACGCGAGGTGGATACTCCAGCTCTCGCCCAGCCTGTGGCGTCACCCAGGAGGTAGGGCGGAAGGGCTTAGTCGTATGTTCCTCTCTCACGAGTGCGCCGCGGTCTCGATCCATCGCTGGACCGACCTGACGCCGATGCGGGAGATGACTGAGAAGGCCGTTTGGATCTATTCAGCTAGAACATGAAGTCGTATACTGAGGGAGTGTGCTGATACTGCCTGCTTACAGTGTCTTGATTAGCTGTGTTCTGTAAGGGTACCGATGTGGAGTTGAAAGGATAGGAATCGAGCTCATCTCTAGCTAGGATCGTCTGGCTCACTACATTGGAGGAATAAAAGGAAGCCCTCATCTTCTGCTCTTCTTGACTCTCTGTCATTCTTAAGTTTGTGCACTGATATTCGTCTTCCTAACTCGGCCTCTCCAACTCGCTGGGTGTCTATACTGTTTCAGGCTTTCGTTGCGCTCTTCAGATTCTCTCATTGCCCCTTCTCTGGATACTATCTCAGCCCTTCTCGGAGAACGTTCTACGGTAGGCCTATCTCCCTGGTTCCTCTATCAAGCAATGAACTTCCGATTAGACATGCCGCCTGGCATAGATGCCTCTCTAGCACTGTTGCGCTCAGTGTCGGTTGGGCTATCTGTGTGCAGTCTCTGGTGTGTGGGGACGGGCCTCCACAGACATTCGTCTTCCAGGTTAAGCTACGGGCTCACTACTGTCGGCCTGGACTTTGAGCCTGGAAGCTGCCGGTGGCAGAACACACTGGTCGGTCACTTCTCGAGCTAGCATCTCTAATCTATAGAAGGAAGTGGGTTATGTCAGTAGATTCCGCATCATCACAGGCCTACTGGACTATAGAGAGAACTCGAATAGTCTTCAGCGCGATACTACTTGGACAACCCCTGGCTTCTAGTATAAGCGCACCAACAACAGCATGGCTATCGGCAGGAGAGTCCTCTAGTGGGCATTGCCTAGGTATTGGTCTTACAAATTTCCCATTGCCTTTCTAATATGCAATTTAAATCCCTCAGTTCCTTCACTCCTCCTCGCACCCTCTTGATAGCTCTTACCACGTAGAACTTTGCGGACGTAGATCTGTCCCTTTCCAATTTCATACCTTTTGGGGTCTCCTATTACAGACCTATTTACCCAGATGGGTGTGCTCTACGGGTTGTTCCCCTCCCAGTCAGCACATTGAATAGATGATGTACCTACACTTCGGGTCCTTGGTTTGTATTTTCTTCCAAACTAGGCGTCACATAGGGATCGTGATTATCTATGGGGTCTAATTGGATTCCTCCATCCATACCTGCCTTTCATGACACACATGAGCTGGATATCAGGGTCTTGTTTGGCTTGTCTCCAAGATCGTATCGCACCAGTAAAGCCAATGCAAGCGCTTGTTACAAGAGTACGTTTAAACCTTTGGGTGGTAATAAATACTATTGATGCCATGACTGGAATAAAGTAGTGAAGTCGCGCACCACGAGATTTGCACACCATGGTATTTGTAACCACGACGGGTTGTTTGCTATCAGATCGGAACTGGATACTTAGCGACCGGTTCTACTGTGAGCGTGGTAGCGAGGATCTACCGAAACCAAGGTACGGTCATTATACTAACCATTACAAATATCGGAGAGGACGTTTAGATAGGGAATTAAGAAGAGAGAATCAGCAGCCATTTAAGAAAGGTGTAGTTTAACCAGTAGGTCATGTTATGAAAACGCTCCCACACGCGTTGTAAGATATCGAACTTCTTTGTTGTTTGTCAAACTCCTGTGTCGTCGGAATAATGAGCAGTGCGTTGTATTCCAAAGGTTTCTCCATGATATAACAGACTCTCGCTATGGGGTGTTCACTTACGGGGCAATTAGCACAGCACTTATGCCCGTACACTTCTAGTAACTGATTGCAGAGAGTAAATGAGATGGAGCATCCAAGTGCCCAGGCATAATCCACGAGGCCCACGAAGCTCGAAAGAGGACCCCGTCAGGAGTTCGATCGCATCTCAAAAAATTACGGGAGCCGGCGAGAAAACCGTTGACCACCTTCGCTTCCATGGCAAGAGTAGACAGTAAGTAACTGCCCCAAAGGAAGTTAGCAGCTCGGATACCGCGAGTTTCTTCCGAAGAAGTCAGTTATGCCTTAGAG